GGAAGCCTGGGGCATGCAAGCTGCACATCTCTGCTCCCTGCTAAGATGAGGCAGGGAGGCCGCACGATAACAGCTGTGTTGTGGAACATCCAAAGCCAATCTAATTCTGCAAATGGGAAGCATGCACAGTGAGACGGTTCTGCTTGCCAGTCTTCCCTTTGCTCATGAAAGAGGTTCTTGTGGTTGAGAGACACCTGTGTGGTCCCCCCCCCCCCATGGACTAGCACAGTCATTGGCAGTAAGAGTGAGGAACACCTTTCTCTCCCAGCGGCTCAGCATTTGCTCCCAGGAGAGTGCGGCCTTGGCAATATGGCTGCAGGCATTCCTTCAGTGCATGGCTTTCCCCCACGCTCCCTGGCATGTATTATGTGCCATCCAGTTATGCATGCAGCTTTTTCTCTCTGCTTCAGGATCACATGTTCTTTTCCTTAGCCACTGTGTGCAAACTCTGAGAGCTCCCATCTCACATTAATCAGTGGAAGAGAAAAGAGGCATCAGAAACAATCCAATATTGTCCTCTTGTTCACACAGAAAATGGGTCACTGGTGAAAATGGATTACAAGGAGCAGTTGTTGCTTAAGTCCCTTAGGGCTGGGTCCAGCTGTTGCAGAAGTGTGCATGCTCGGTGAAGTTGCCCCATCCTCACCTCCCACTGCAGCTCCCCCCGTGCAACCTACGCAACCTCGACATGCTCTGAAGGGTCCCCCGACCTTCCCAAACCAACTGGGGGAGGCTGCAAGTAGGAGGCAAAATCTGGTGCCACTACTGGATTCAATCCTTCATGTTCTGCGTTTACTCGAAGTACCTTGATGAATACGGGTGAAATGTTTTACCCTGATCTTTAATGTAGGCCATGGCCCGGGCTGGGTAACATTTGGTCAGTACATGATCGTGTACAATTTTTGCAGTTATGCAGCCCTTTTCCTAGAAAATGTTGATGCTAGAAAATGTTAGAGAAGTTACCATGTTCAATACACTGAGATCTGGTTCTTCTGTTCCTTGAACCAGAGAATTTAAGCCTCCCTCTTAACCGATTTACTAGGCTGGTTTCAGAATTTTCTTGAATGAATGCTGCGCTTTGGATTATTTAGGTTTGTCTCAGAAAAACAATAGCTACTGTAGCTGGAGCTTAGTCAGTGTGACACCTTGCAAAACTTAAGGGTCTGCGCTGTACCTCCTTAAGTCCACTTGGTGGCGTGAAGCTCACTTTTGCTTGTGCACATGTTTAATAGGTGTTGAATCTGACGAATGCATATAAGGCAGGAAACTGCACTGTCTGGAAATCAGTCAGTCTTGTACCAAGTTTCCACTTTTGTCCTTTACTTCTGTTTATCCTTCCTTCGCGTCTTAAAATGCGCAGTTTATTTTATATTTTGTAAACATAGGGAACAATTCAGTGGAAGTTTTATATATTTAAAGTCTTATTCTTTTCTGCAGGGGATATTTAAGCACATGCTTAGGACTCCCATTAGGAATTAATGGGACTCAACAGTACTTAAGTTTGCTTGGGTCATGCTCCTGGTCTTGTTCCGTTCTTCTGGGAGAACTGTGACATAGTTGCAATGTATATGCCGGCGCTTGTAAATAGTGTAGCTTGCAGGCAGAGCCACAGGGCGCTAGCAAGCCCCACGCCGTGAAAGCAGCTTTGTGCAAACGGGAGGGGATCCTGTAGGAATTCTTCGGAGTCCTTCTTGCTCATGTTGTGCCACAGGTCTTTATGGGAGCACTAAGTTTATTTCATTATTGCCAAAAGAACAAAAAACCTTTGTAAATGATGTGGAAGCTGTAGCTATTTATCTTTGATATTAATATTTCAATATCAATATTTTTGTACAAAAAGTATACTTGGTTTCAGGGTTAATTTAAGCCTGAGTGTAGTCACTTTTTTTCTTTGTCTTAAATCTTTCTTTGCATTTTATTATTCTATGCAAATATGTTTTCTGGATGGGCAGGTATAGTTTTTAACACATCTGATAACCATTAACAGAACTTCAGGTCATTATGGTTGCAGTCTTTCTGATTAGTTGAAAAAGACTTTGAATGAAAAATATGTTGCAAGGAAAGAGGTTATATAAATAGACCAAATAGGTGTACACAATTTACAAGAACCAACATGACTGCTACAGTCCAATGAGTCAGTGTGTGCTGAGTTTATTGATTCTAATGAGCTTAGAGCACAATCTTGGATGCAGCTACATAGAAGTTAAGTGCCACTGAGTTCAATGGGACTTACTCTCAGGAAAGTGGGTACAGGATTGTGTTGTTTAGCACACTTCTGTGTTGGATTGTGAGCTTGGTTTGTTGTTTGATTTCTTTTATAAAAAAAAGAATGCATTTAAGTTATTTACTGATCCTTTTTTCTTTGTAAATATCTTGTCTTCTTGTTTATTTACTAAAGTTGATGATAGCAAATGGTATTGTTGCCTTTCATTTCTGAAAAAAAATTTCTATTCACAAATCTGTTAAAAAGGTTCCATCTCCTTCTTGCCCACAAATGAGACATTCAGTTAGTTGCACGATAAGCAGATTATTATCTACTTGGTTTTGTTGGTCTTAAATTAATTTGGAATTGAGTTCAATATGCAGTATGTTTATTGCATATGTACATGTGGTTATGTTTTTCTTTAAAGCCACATGATAAATTTGTGGATTTTTCAGAATTTGAGCAAATTCTGCTTCAGGCAGGTTTAATGAATTTGCATTTTTCTCCTTGTACATTTCTTTTAACAGTTTAATTCTCCTGATAGATTATTTTGTTGGTTTATATGCTATTGCCATGGTTGAAATAAAAGTTAATTAACAGAAGAATGACTCTTCAGTTGCTTCCCTTACATGTAACTTGTTCTTAAAGCCCAACAATGTTATGAAAATAAAGTGAGTGGGTTTCAATGGCACTTGCAAGCAGGCATGCCTGGGAGGGTCATCGGAGCGTTTTGCCCCATGGACTACTAGTGTTAAATTTAAGGTCTTATTTATGGTCCCTGAAATATAAGGTAGGTAGCAACTTCTGAAGATCAGAAGTGCCCTGCTTACCAGAAATGCATACATATAACTACTTAAACTACCTTTGCCTGTGATTAGTTAGATAAGCTGAAACAAACTTTTCATGATATGAAAAGATTGGGACATATTTCCAAATAGTTGAATTCCCAGCAGGGAAAAATGGTTTCTGAAGTCATTAAGGTATTGTTTGTAGATACAGTGAAAGTAGAGAAAGTGAATTAGACATGCCTTTTCAAGATGCACTCTGCCATGCTTGCTTGCACATAACATCCTCACGATTTGCTACCAAAGCCCATTTTTAGTAGCCTTAGACTTGGTAGGTCCGTCTACATGTAATGCTTCCCCAGCCTGGGTCCTTCAGGTATTTTAAGGATGCAGCTCCTAGAATTCCAGACTTAATCATATGGCAGGGACTGATGGGAATTAAATCCAAGCATCTGGAGGGCATCAGACTGGAAAAGGAGGTGCTGCAGCAGTTTTGCACAATGCACACACAACTACTGGTCTGGCCTCCTGCAAGTGAGCACTGCACACAATCCATGAAGCTGTGTTAGTTGCACTAATAATGGCTAAAAGCAGGACGAGCTGGCACATCACGTGACATGCTGAAGTAGGTAATCTAAAATGGAAAAAAGTTTTCTGATCTCCTCAAGGAGAATGCTGCTACCCTGACATAGCAGGTGAGGGTGTAGCCTGGCGAGGCTACGATTCAAATCTCTGTCCAGCCACAAGGCATACTTATGTCAGTCACTTATCTACTTCACCTCCACGGAAGTGGGTTCTTTGGAAGCAGGGTGGGACAGAAATGTACAGTAAACTATGAATGCTATGACATTAGACCAGAAGTTCCTTCTGAAGACAACATCCACGGAGTAGTGAAGAGGCACAGCCCAGAGACAGCTGAGCCATTTCCAATATATTTCCTAAGATGAGTTGCTAAGAAAAATTGAGAAAAAAAAAGATTGGAAGTGCCGGTGGCAACTACTTTAAAGTTGCTACCCCAAAATAAGTTTTCTTTCTCAGCAAAGTACAACCGCATGGAATCTGATAAAAAAGATTTTATTGCTTTTGGCCAATGGCTATTGCAACTTTCCAGAGGATAAAAATACATTTTTGAATTACAACTCCTAAAGATTCAATTCCAAGATGAAAAACTGAAATGAAAAATTTAATACTTGGGGTAGTAACCAGATATTCTAATGGATTTGTTAGATTAATTCATGACCAGGGGGCACTGACTCCTGAGGTGGAAATAATTTTTGCAGAAATCCTTGAGTCTACCAAAGCATAAAGAGAAACCCTATGGAGCACTTAAGGACCTCCATCAGCTACATCAGGCAATTAGCTTTTCTTTTTAAGGAAAGAATTCAAATGTAAATGGGCTGACAACTAAGAATTTTAGACCGCAGCTCAGACTTAAAGGGTGAATAACATGGAATGCTGGACATCTTCCAACTTCATGGCTTGAAAACCACGGCTTGCAACACAAACGCCATAAAGCTGTAGAAAGGAATAATAATCAAGTGAAGGAAGGTGTCTCTTATGATCTTTTGTATATGTCCATTTTTATAATCGACTTTAAAAATCAAGTATATTGTCTTGTACAAAAAGCTTCTCTCAGAGTTTAATATCAGTTTGAGAAAATGCCCAGAGGTCTGCTGGAAAGCAGTTATGTCAAAGTAACTTGGAAGGTTCATGTGGAAATGCAAAGCGTACAACATCCAGAATTTGTAGGTGCTATATAGCAGCAACCGGGGGGTGGGGGAGGCGGAGGGCAGAGTGATGGCCATTTACAAAAGGGCACTTTTATTCTTCTCTTGCAAAATGTCAGACCAAAGAATATATATATGAATTTACACAGCAAATTACTTCATACAATGCAATTCTGTTCCCTCGGAAAATGAAATGCAAAAATATAATGGGATAGTTAGAAGAAGGTAATTCAGCAAAGCTGCTTGTTTTATTTTTATTTACCAGTCATACAAAAGAATGCAAAGGGTTAAAAAATGATATTTATTTCACCTTTTATACAACCAGAGATATGAGTTAAGATCTTTTAAAATAAATAAATTCAGCTAATAGTCTTAGCTGTTCCCCTACCAGTGGCTTTTTGGCCTTAATTTCTTCTCAGACAGATGAACACATGGTAGAGCTGGTGACTGGTGTCACATTAAGCAGAATTCGGGACCTATTAGAGTAGAAAATCAAACCCCTATGTGTGGCTTATGGGATCTGTGGCTGGTGATCAGGCAGGTTTTTTTATGTGGCATCTAGGCCTATACTTTTGCAATCACAGTGACAGACAAACCTGGGTACATTTTATAAATGAACTGGACAATACAACCAAAGGACTTGATGGTCTCTGACGCCGCAGTGCAGCACCATCTGAATGGGGGGAAGGGTTAAGAGAAGTAGCTGGGAAGAAGTCTTTCTAAAAATCAGACAGCTGCCTTTTGCCACGGTAAGAAAGAAAGGCCATCTGGTATCACTTGGTAAGCACCATTTTTAGAAGTGTGGTTGCCTTGTTCTGCTTGTACAAGTTGAAGAATGGGGACAACCAGTGCATTTTAAGTCTGTCAAGCCTGTGATAGGATTCTCTGTGTTTTTACAGTATGCTTTCCTCTGCTGTTTTCGCTCCGTTGTCAGATGTACAGATAAGAAGTACGTTTTTTCCACCCGCTCACGTCACGAACGCTTGCACTTCTCACGGCCCTTTCACATTGGCAGCTCGCAGTCCAGCTTGCACGGTGCAGGCTGATGGCTCACAATAGCCAGGAGGGCCCGGAGGACCAGGGGGGCCTGGGACACCAGGTAGGCCACCTGCTCCAGGTGGGCCTTGCATCCCATCTCTCCCGTTGGTGCCATAGCTGGGCTTGCCCGGCTCCCCTGCAGAGGCAGACACAGGACATGGGTCATGTTAGTTCAGCCGGTGAGCTCACCACCCTTCAGAGCAGCCAGCGGAACAGCTTCGGAGGGCAAGGCTCCTCTTCCAAAGGAAAGGACTCAGTCTGATGTTCACGTTTCCCCTCGTCTCTCATCAGCATAAATGAAGGCAGTCATGTCATCGGGAACACCAAAAAATCAGATCATCATTCCATTGAACCAAACCAACATGAGCTCCATGTAGAGTAGACCCATTGCAATATTTGAAGAACTTCACAGTAATGCAGTCTTTTGAGGTTACTGTCAGACTAGCTCTTATATGGCAAGTCACTTGTACCATAATATCCACTAGAGGGCACTTGTGCTGCATTTATAAGGAAGATTTTTCTTCCACAGCATTTCCTCTCCTCACAGCAAGATACAGCATGGCTATATTTTAAAGCGCTGGGCAGACAAAATGAAATTTAAGGGATTTGCAAATCCTCACACATATCACACATTCTGGTGTTAAGTGGGAAATCTATTTGCCATTTTTAATTCACTCACAGTGCACTTGATCCTGCCCTCATGTAATTTTGCCATTCCGTGCAAAGGATGGCAGTTCTGCTTCTTTCGAACATGATTCTAATAATTTTCTGTCTTGGCTTCTTGCGTTACAAGCTTGCTGTCATGAATAAGCAAATCCACAGTTGCCCGCACAGATGTAGATGCAAAATAAAAACCTCTGGGACAAAAGAACATTTGGATAAAAGCATGAGACTGCTAGCTATAATCTGGGAACTGAGCTGGAATTCTTAAGAGGCATATGGCGCCTCCAGCATATAGGCTAAGATGCTGCAAAAGAGAAAGGTTAAACAACCTGGGAGCTGGGGAGACGGTGCCTTCAAAAGCAGAAAACTGGGAGCTTTCTATTCACAACACATTCCCTTCCTAGGAAGCACTTGTATTTCCAGGTGGCTGTTAAATATGTGTGAGCACACATCAGAGGCCCTAGGAATAAGATTTAATTTTTACCTGGAAGTCCTATTGGTCCTGGTAAGCCTTTGGGTCCTCGGCCGGGGGGTCCTCTCTCTCCCTTTTCACCTGTTTCACCTAAAACAGATTCACGAACCGTTATTTGTTTTATCCTGTATGCCTATTTAAAATGTGTACATGCTGCCTTCCTGGAGTCAGGTGGGGTGTCTAATGACTCTGCGGCCAAGCAGCATTGCACTGATTGCACTGATCCTGGTCTCGCACAGCTCTGCCACACTTTCCTACTGAGGCACACGACATCTGGCTGGGGCTGGAGCTTCTGCTTTCTTACCCCAGGATGAGCATGATACTCCAGCAAGCCTGTACTAGAGATGAAAAAAAAAAATTCCAGTAATGGGAAGTTGGGGAAAATGGAAAAATGTGTAACATTTATTCATTTATTTATATCCCACTTTTTACTTCCGAGGAACTCAAGGTGGCTTTAGTTTGTTTATTGTAGTGCTATTTTCAGCTCCAAAGCCACTTTGGGACAGCCTTCTGAAACTAAGTCCATCCAAGTATTTTGGACTTCAGCTCCCATCAGCCTTGCGGCGTGCAATTTATCAAATGGCTACTTTCAGCCATCAAGAAGAAGCACCCAAGTGGCTGAGGGAAGGAGGCCGAGAGCTGTCTTGCTACAGCCCCCACCCCCACATGGCTTACTTATTTCCAGAAATTTTGCATCTGCAGTTTTTCTGTAGAAATCATTGGCAATAAGGACTGGGTAACAATACATAAACACATTCCTTTAAAAACTTTGCTCATCATTTAAAAGAACGACTTCATAATCCAAAACTACAACATGTTGTCCATGTTTGGGAAAGAAAAAATGGTGCTAGGTGCTTCCAAAATAAAAATCCGACTGTTTTACCCTCCAGTTTGTCCATTTCTTTTCCAGGCCTCACATCCCTAATCTGTATGACAGCCTAGAGAACTAGAAGCTAGGATGTTTGGAGAACCCTCATGGAGGAAACTAACTAAAAAGATGGAACTGTTTTCCTCCTCTTTCCCTGAACCAAAATGAGAAGGGAAAGGTTACTTCAGGTATTGGTTTCAAAGACAGAATGAACATTGTTGAAGTTATTTCTATTAATTTAATTCTGGATCAACTTGGACACATTTTCCTTTAGGCTCCATATCACACACATCCAGCAGCAATCAATACATTAAATATGTAAGCCAAACTCTCCAGCACAATCCTATGGATATCTCCTCGGTGACAAAGCATCCAGAAAGCATGCCTGGTACGTGATGCTTGGGAGGCGGGGCTAAAGGTCCAACACATTTCCCCCGTGAAATACGCCGCAGGGGCTTAAAGGAAGAATAAAGGACAGCATGACAGCTCACCAGGGATTACGTGATCCCCAGAGAGCTGCCTTGCTGCCTGCGACATCCATTTGGGGGTTGTCAAGTTATGCCGTGCCAGTGCTTATGTGAGTGTTAAACTATTTTTGCATTTCCCTGGTGTGTTCAAGGGTTATGCAAGGATGGTTTAACACTTGCTTACTGGGCTTACAAAACGGAACGACCTCCAAGTGTGGGCTGCTTATGCAGCTCTGTGCCTATGGATTCCGAGGGTCCAGGCTGAGTCACGACATGCAGTCTGAATCCAGCCATTCACTCCCATGGCACTCACTCAGAAGCACTGCTAACACTCCACTCTGTGCCTCTTACCTTTGGGGCCTTTCAGCCCAAGATCACCGGGAGGGCCCTTAAGGCCCGGCAGACCTCGGGATCCAAGCTGCCCCAGGAAGCCATTTTCTCCAGGAGGTCCAGGGCTTCCAGGTGGGCCAGGCGGGCCAGGGAGGCCTGGAGCACCAAATTCCGGCCTCCGCAGACTAGCAGCCAACTGAGCCAGATGTTCTGCTCAGTGAAAACAATGAAGAAATTATGAAGACACACAATAGGAGTTCACTTGTTTTTAGACTCATTTGTAATCGCAAAGAAATTAATTTGACACATTTCATATCCCTCAGCAATTGCCAAGACATTTTAAAACTCATATCTACTTTCTTTTCTTACTTGCTTAAGCAGGGGGTTCTTACAAGTTTTATTCAGTGGACAGCACAGAAGTGCCAGAGCCTGGCTTTTTATGGTGCTGTCCTGCAGAGATGGAGCGACCCCGTAAAGGACGCCACAGCCCTGAATTTGGAACAGCTAAGCAGGGCTGTCGTGGGCAGGCCATTCTGGAGAGCCTTTGGCCATAAGGTCATGATAATCAGAGATGACTTTACGGCACACAACAGCAAACTTTAGATATTCCTCAAAATTGTGAGTAATTTATTTATATGGCAGAAGATGGAAAGGATCACAGGTAACATGCATCTGTCATAGATGACACAGCACTCATACGGACAGGAAACAGCAGTACTTGGATGGTACTTTTTTTCAATGCCCATTTTGAAGCATTCTGTGAGAACACAATGGCTGCAAGCCAGCATTTGTGGAAAAGGAAAAGAAGTACTTCTTCACACAGCACACAGTTAAATCCTCATCCTCCATGAATTAGTCCAGTCCCTTTAAAAAGCTATCCAAACTAACGGTCATCCCTGCATCTTGGGGCAGCAAATTCCATTGTCTGATGATGTGAGGCACGTCTTTTCCTCTGTCCTGAGTCCCCTGCCATTCTGTCTCCCTGGAAGACCCCAGGTTCTAGTATTACCTAGCCACTTTCTTCATGCCATACCTAACTTTGCACTTTTTCCATGCCCCTATTGCTTGCCTTTTTCCTAAATTAAAGGGCCTGACTGTGGTAACCTTTCCTCACAGAGCAGGTGCTCCGGCCCCTTGATCATTTTGGTTGCCCCAAAGCTATCCAGACCTGCCTCACATTATATTTCCCTCAAATGTTCCATTGTTTCCCAAACTACCTTTATTATTTGGGGTATTTGCAGTTTCCGTATGTTACATGGGTGTGATCACTAAGTGGCACGAGGTGGCCCTTTCTTCTTCCCCCTCCCGCTCCCTACCCATTCCACACACTCCTTTCACGTGGGCAGGAACCACGTCCTTTCTCATTCGCCCCTGCATGACCGCCCAGTAAAGCTGCCCCTCTCCTCTGTCAAAGCAAGAGCATGGAGTCAGAGACGGGAGAGGAGAAGCACCAGCAAGAAGGCGATGCGGCAGGCAGGAGCCACTGAGAAACAAAGGCCGGCCTACATCAGCCTTTCCCAGCCTGGTGCCCTCCAGATGTTCTAGGCCACAGTTCCCAGCTTTCCTGGTCATTGGCCAGGCTGGACGGGGAATACGGGAGCTGAGATCTAAAACATTTGGAGGGTACCAGCTTGGGGGAAGCTGGCTGACACGTTACAGGACAAAAATACCACTGAGGGTATCAGCGACTGTCCTCCTCGGAGCTGCTTTCTGCCAGGTGTCCTGTTCCTGCTGCTTGGAGCTAAGGCAAAGCTGCTCTCAAGAGTAACTGGTATTGATCCCTTGCTTGGAAATGAAATCTTCCCAGAAGGAAAAATTTAGTAAAGGTGATCACCAGCACCAGCACCAAAGTTTCTCTTTCAGTTAGAAACAGATACAGAGCGAACCAGAAGGGGTCTCCCGGGCCATCTAGTCTGACCCCCAGCTCCAGCCAGCTCCACTTATGGAACTAATTGTTTAGTTTCATTTTTTTAAGCACACACATTGCTCTGAGAAAGAACACACATGCCACAAACATTCTAAATGTAAACAAATTTATGACCCTCAAGCAGGCCAGGTGAAATTCAGTGTTTTTGGCTTTTTAAAAGAACACTCGCTTTCAAACTTATAATATATAAAAATATATAAGTTTACCTTGCATCACTCGCATGCAAACCTGCTTGATGTGGGCATCTGTTGGCTCTCTGCCCTGAAATAATAAACATAGTATTAAAATGTTTTAATCACCTTTGGCTTGAGGAAATGTTACAAAAACCTTTAGCTTTTAAACCTGAAGTCTTCTTATTCGGCATTATACCTGTGGACATTAGCAAACAAGAAATGTATCTGATTTTACATGTAATTACTGCAGCGAGGATTGCATTTGCTCAACACTGGAAAAGTGAAGAACTAGCCACCGACAAACTAATTTTTAAAAAGATCTTGGACTGTGCAGAAATGCATAGATTGACTTTATCATTGAAGGAGAAAGAAGATACTGACTTCTATCAAACCTGGGACTCTTTTTATTATTGGCTAGAGAAATGGGACTTTGTATAGATTTAAATATGTTTTTAAGTTGTCATAAATGGAAAAAAATGCGGGGGCTGACCCAGCAGGCCCAATGTTTTTGATGATTGATGTTGTTTTTAGTTTTTCTTTGTTTTTAGGATTATAATTTCAAATAAAACTTATTAAAATGTTTTAATCACCTTTTAGCCACCATTTATGAGGATATTGAAGATGAGGATGGATAAAATGATGAAGGATGCAAAGGAACTCAGGAAAGAAGGTGCAAGCAAGGCAGCACCCACATACCCAGACATGCCGTCCTGCAGCTCCTCCTTTCCGTGTTTCCGAGCACTCCAAATGCAACTGCAGACATGATGAGGGTGGGGAGGAGCAGCCACACGGGCGGCCTGAGGAGGGTGGGTGGGAGGGAGGGAGGGATGAAGCAGAAGGAAAGAGCCCAAAGAGAGAATGTTGGGGTGGGGGAGAACCACGTTGGACTCCACCATCTTGGGATTTTCCAGTAAAATACTCAACGGAGCCCAAAGCTGCATTGCAAGTAGGACATCCTGTTAGCACAGCAGGAACCAGTTCCTGAAACAACCAGAAGCAAGCAGAAATGCTAGTGCAGCAGACAGGGGCTCTGCTGAGCTGTCCCAGTCCAGAAATAAGTGTTTCCATAATTCCTGAGATGTTTCAGGAACTGCGATTTCCTTTTCCACCAGTGCAAGAGAACTAGTGGACAGCAACCACACAGGGCATTGCTCAGTGGCAATAACCAAACTGGCACTATGTGTTGTATGCAAAAGTTTGGCATCCGAGCAGGCATAAGCAGTCAAGATCTGGCTGTGCTCCCTATTTTGACTGAGACATCTAAAATGGAATGAGGTGGTGAGAACAAAACGCACTGGTTGTACATAAAAGCTACACAGGGACAAAGGATTCCCAACCCAATGCATACCACAATCATGGCACAGATTACAATTGTGTAAACTTGGCATTTACAGTAATCTTCAGTTACCTCTTTAGACTTGGTTGTTTATGGGGTGTGCTTGGAAGGAAGTGGACACACAGAGCATAACACTCCAGCAGCCCCTGAGCTAACGGCTCCTGGGGTTCCACGGACATGCAAGCGCTTCCTGAGCAATGGGACTGGCTTTAGGCTGGCGAGGTCACAGAGCCCGTTGAGCTCTGCCAAGGTTCCACAGCACAGCAAGGAGAGGACTTGCCTGCAGCCCCCTCATGGGATGCAAAAAGCCCCTGGAGGAGTGTCTTGTGCTCGGAGCAAGACGTGAACATTGGCTTGGGCCAAAACAGATTTTCGCAGCCTCCCCTGCCTCTCAGAAGGCACTGCCTTAGCTACAGCAAGGCAGATATCCAGCTGAAGCAGATCCATGGGATCCAGCTGCAAGCAGGATAATGTGACAGCCATGACACCCAACGGCTACAGCATCAAGCTTTGCTGCTAGGTAAAGCCACACAGAGCATCTTTCCAGCTGCAGATTCAATTCTAATGCAGCCGTAAGCCTTGTCATTACACAAAAAGGTGCGTAACAAGGAACGATTACTTACAGCTGGGCCCTGGCTGCCAGGCAGACCAGGAGATCCTCGTTCACCTTGCAGACCACGTGGCCCAGGTGGCCCCCTCAGTCCTTCTACGCCAGGCAAGCCACGGCTTCCTTCAGGCCCACGTGACCCTGGTTCACCGGGATTCCCAGCCTGAAAGAGCAAAAGAAGAAGGAGGAACCAAGCATATTACTCTTCTGCCACAACAGCTCTCTGATGCTGTGCTCAGGTTTCTGAGTCATCTACTACGGGGTTTCTTGGGAAGAACTATGATTTGACATTTGCAGACTTGCATCTTTGCAAAACAGAAAGGCCAGTTAGGCAATCAAAGTGTGAGTGTCTCTACATGTCTGCGCAGTTCTAGAGATTTCTGAGAAGGAAGGCCCCAGCGGTACTTTGGCCAGGCTGCCGAGGGCTCCTGGGCAAGGCACCCCCCATGTCCTCCCTCCCACCCTCCCTTGGAGAACCTGCTTTGTCACGGCCACTGCCACCCTCTTGCATTTCCCCTTGCCCTCCACCTCTACTTTGCTGCCACTTGCCAGGGAGCAAAGCCACTGCCCCTCCTTCTCTCACCACCACTGCCAGAGCCAGAGCCAGAGCCAGGGCCAGAGCCAGAGGGAGGGGAACAAGCCGGCTGCAGTGGGGAAGGGGCAGTGCGACGCCCGGGCTCCTGGCTGGGGCCTCTGCTGGGCATGAGACTTGGCAGCTCCCTGGCCAGCCTTCCCTTGACAGTCTCGGATCCCTGGTCAACAGGCACAAGAGAGAAGCCAGAAGGTTCCAGCATGCCCTTTCTCGATGTGGCTGCTGTGCACGATGGGTTCTGATCTAAGCCCTGGCTAGAACTCGCACGGGAGCGGAAGGAAGAACCCAGTGGCAGCACTTCTGAAGCCTCACAGAAGAGGTAGGAGGGAGGTTCCTTTCGCTTTAGCCAGAGAGACTGGGGCTTCACTCTGGGGGAGCACATTTATGCATAGCTGTTGGTCAACAGAGAAGGAAAGGACTATTGCATGGCAAGCACCTCCACAGCGAGACGTTACAAGTGCAATAGGAATCCCTGAAGCAATTCTAAACTTGTGCTTTTGCACAAATCCTATGAATATATTAAACATTTCAAAACAGCTTAACTACCAAGAAGGCCATAAATCATGAGAGCTTTTAAGCTACTCATTTCTGCATTCTATAAATATAACGGCAGAAGAAATAAATATTAGATAAGCTAGAAATGGGTAATACAAGCATTTGAAAACTGCTGCTTTGAAACCATCAAGGGGGGAAAACCCTGACTGCAATTATTTCTCTTCTCAGAGAAACAAGAATTATGCCAATGTTACTTTTCATCCCTGAATTTTTTTATTTATATTTTGGAAAATGTCGGAAACAGAAGACATCGATAACGGGCTTTTGCTTACAAGGCTTCCTAGTATCTGACAGCTTCTCCTGAAACCGCATTTCTGCGTTCTCCCTCATCCTGCGAGCATATAATGGGCTTTCCTTTTCAGGACCTTGCCCTGGGCTAGATCTTGTGGGGGGGGCAGCAGATTTACACTCCTATTTTGAAATTTCATTGCTCAGACTAGGTGTGTGCATGTTCAGGGACTACATAGCCCCCACCTCCCAAGAATGAAAACCAGTTTGCATTTCCATTTTAATGCATCCTGTATTAAAGGCTTTATTCGCCAAGATGTCCAGCATTGTTTATAATATAAATAGCATCCTAGGATAATTCAGGATCTTTGCACAAATGAATTCTAATTCAGTGCTCAGTGATGCAACTGCTATTCATCTGGGCAATTTTTCATATTTTGCTGTGAAGATAAGGTTTGGTTCTGAGACTATGGGATGCATTAAGCAAAAACTAGGGGGTAGGAGATGCATGCAGAGAAAGGAACTGGGGTGAGGCAGGATGGGACGAAGGGCAAGAGCAGAGCAGGGACGTGTTTGGTCCAGACAGTAAAGGAGATCTGAAGACAGAGCTGGTACACATTCACGGGACATCTGGTCCCTCTTGGCAGGTATAAGAAGAGATGCAATTATAGAGCTGCTGACACCAAGCCTTGTAGGGTTCAGACTCCAAAGGAACAAAGTCACGGACCTGGTTTGAATGTTACAGCAATAATTCCTGGGCTGAGCCAGGTTGCAAACAAGGGGAGATTCCAGACAAGGTGCTCCCAAGCCGAGGAGTGTTGCTCATATGGATTTATTAGCTGGCATTCTCATGCATCAATGAGGAATATAAGTTCCAAACTAGCACATGAAAAACATATAGAAATTGAAGTGATAAACAACAAGCTCAGTTGTAAGAAAGCATATGAGGAAGTCAGATTAAACAAATAACTAAAAGTGCATTGTATGTAACTTCAAAAGTCCAGTGGGAGGCCAGTCAAGAGCAGGCCAGTCTGAACTAGGCCTGCTGATTCTTTCTTAAAAGAACTGCTGCAGTTTTCTGTTTTGGTGTTGTCCTTCTGATCTTTCTTGCCCATCAAAAGGCATAGCTAACCCTGCCCCCTTTTTCTTTTCCAAGCCATCAAGCACACAGTGGCTATGCTTAGACTAGGTTTCTTAGTGTATGAAAGTCTTCAGGTAATGGAATCTGTAACATCTGAACCAGAAGGCTGTGATCCCTAGCTTCTAAACAAGCCAGGATATTAAACCAAGTTTAACCCTAGTTCCATATGCTGGTTTATTTGGATGTCAATAACCATGCTTCACATGCTATTAACTCAGTCATGATTGCCGAACACTCCCACTGCCAATCCCTATCTCTGCATGCATGAAAGTGCTTATAAGCACACGTGTGTGTTTTAAAAAAGGGGGTACAACTACGTAGTTCTTAAAAACATTGCTAGCAGTGAAATCCTTTATTGTCCTAATCAGTTTCTGCATCCTTCTTTATCGTGCAGTCTTAGATGTTCTACTTGGAAGTGTGCTCTACTGAATTCAGTGGGATTTACTCCCAAGTTAGTATGAAAAGGACTGCAGTTTCAGAGTCTACGTGACAAGCCTAAAAGATGCTCAGCCTTATATGTGACCAGTATAAAAATTCAGTCCACAGATACAGTTCTACTCCTCTGTTGTGAAGTCTCTGTTCCCTTCCCACACTGACTCATTAATTTACCTCTCTTTTCACCAGTACATACCAACTCTCTATATTCCACAAACCAGGAAGTCACTTTTCTCACTCTGAGAACCCCTCTAGTAATCCACAGCTTTAAAATGAAAATGATGAACGATGTCTTATATTTTCCTTAACTTCCTTGCTTGGAGAACTAAATATTTAAACTGCATTAACCACCCCTCTCTCGTTGCAAATATTCTACTGATTTATTATGGTTTTGATTTTTCATAACAATGTAGTTCATCATACTTACAGATCCTTTAGGGCCTGGCAATCCCATGTCACCCTAACAAAACAAGATGAATTATGTCAGGATGGTATATATCTGTGCATTTTAAAGATAAGGAATCTCATATTGTACTCTAAATGTTTACAAAGTATACCACCATTAGGGAAAATGAGACTTCTTGCTGTACTTAGATATAAGCTTAAAGAAATAATACAACAGAAGAACCTACTATAAATTCACAATTTAAAGGGTTGAAGAAAAAAGAATTTGGAGTTTTTGCTTTGGGTAAATATTTCCTGAAAGCAGTGCTTCCTTCATGCATTTATGCATTTATATGCCACATTCAAAATTCACCTCTGAAGCATTTGCATTGTCTTCCACAATAAATAACGTTATGAAAATCCAGTGTAAAGTTTTAGTATCCAACTAGTATCCAACTAGCTAGTACAGACCTATAGTAGCACACTCTGTACACAATTTTCAGTGGAAAAGCCAAAGCTGAAATAATCTGAGCCAGTAACCAGGAACATTAGAATAAGATTTTGCAGGAGAGTGACATCCTGATCACCATATTTATATCTGTCGACACCAAATTCAGAGTATGACTGTTGGCAAGGGAGCTGGCCCACAAACACTCCGAAAAGGCATCCTGTAATCCGGGACACAATGAAAAAACTGTGAGGGCTGCAGGAGCTGTCCTTGGTCTTCTCCATTCCAAAGCTTCTAGAAATAGCAGTTCCAGTCCAGCCGACTGATGAAGTAAGCCAGTAAGCGGCTGGTTTGTGGATTACAGCTTCTGGGGCAATTGCTCCTTAATTGCCAACCTGCTGCAATGCGTGGAATTGCTATTTTGGCAACAGTTATTCCAATACAGTACAGCAACCCTGAAGTGCCCAGGAGGCAGGAGCTTGTGGTGCTGCCCCACACGGGGCAATGACGCAGAGCAGAGCAGGCAGCCCTGCCTTCTTCTGCCTCAGGTCTACTTGGAGGCAGCAGAGAGGGGGGGCAGAGCTGCTCAGCGGCACTGCCTGGAGGACAGCGCAGTGCCAGCTAGTGAATTCGGCACTCCCACTTCCTGCCTGAGAGTAGAAGGCAGGAGCTGGCCATCTGCTTGCTGTTACAGCCCTGTTGTCTGAAGAGGCACTGCTGAGTAAATCTCTCTCTCTCTCTTTCTCTCTCTCTCTCTCTCACACACACACCCTGCTGCCTTCTCCAGAGGGAACAGGAGGCAGGGTGACCAACCAGCTCCCCCTTTCTTCCTGCTGCACTTCAGGGCAGGATCCCTGTTTGCACTAGTGGGGCAAAGAGGCTATTTTTCTGCTTTGTTCTCATAGCCCTGGCGTGCAATGGGAAGCGATGCCCAGCCTCAGCTGAGGCGAGGATGGGGGCTGCCCACTGCGAGGGAAAAGTGCACAGCCCTTTGCATGGTGCTGCAGGCCAGGCTGGAAGTTTCTGTCTTGCATGTCAGGGCACAAGCCCTGTGCACGCAAGGAGGACTCGTGGGCAGCCATGGTGAGCTGGAACCAGCTCAGCGAAGGGGCTCTCTGGGAGAGGAGCCCCATCCTTCCTCACAGGATGTCTTGAGGTATTGCCTGGAGGAAGGGGAGGGAAGCAGAGGAGGGGGGATTGCAGCAACCATGCTTAGTTCGATCATCTGTCAAGCTCAATGCAGGTACTTCAGAAAGTCACCAACACACCATCGCTTATCCCCAGGGTGGTTGTTGTGCCATACAAACTCACTCAGGTTCCTTGGGACTGTCCAATAGCTAGAGGTTATCAAAAAACTTGAACCATTTTTTAGAATCTCGCCTGACATTTCTAAATTACTCAGAGTCTCCTTTTCAGCCCTGCTAAATGTGCAACTCTTGCAGCAGGACGTGCTACACTCTATTTGTCCATGTTACGGGAAGCAAAATCTACATCTGACAGTTCTACATCTGAGTCTTCAAAACTGAGTGGATTGAAAAGCGGGTCTTACAAAGTCGCCTCTCGCTCCCGGCTCTCCTTCTCCGCCAGCAGCTCCCTGTGTTATAACAAGACATGTATTAGCAGCAAGCAGCAGGCACGTCCAGAGTTTTGGCAATGTTGGGAGGCTAAGATGCAATGAGAACATGCATCTCTTTCCTTTCAGTGCCAGGGAATACAAAAGTTTCAAATAAATAAAGTTTAAATAAATAAATACTCACTTGTTCTCCTTTAGGCCCTGGTTCACCAACTGAACCCTATGTGCAAATTAAAAATAGTACAATTTTTAAAAAGCCCTATCAATGAGTGACTGTAGAGACATTGAACATGGCCTAAACATTTGAATGGTGAGCCATATGTCTGCGTGCAGAAAGCAAGCAATATGTGACTAGAAAACAAAGAACAATCTCCTATATCATAGAACTTTGAATTAAATTAAGATTAATTAACAAACCATTGAAAAGATGCAGACCAAGTGCCCATGTGACTCACAGAATTCACTCACTTAAATCTGGCTCCACAAATGAACATGTTCTGGTGCACGGGGGGAGTTCCTCTGAAAGCTGCATCCCCGTTCGGTGCACTTGGAGAGGCGGCGCCAACGTCCACTGTGCACCTGGAGCCATCCCTGAACCCGGTGACTCACCTGGGGCAGGGCTCTGTGCATCTGCCAGGAGTCTCTGGCATGAGCTACTATCATGCCAACATCTTAATCCAGGAGTACTGGATTTCCTTTCTTTTGGCTAGTTGTGCTATGGCTGGGCCACAACCAATTCTAGTGTTTATTTATAAAATACATTTAACCCGTTTTTCTGTAAGAAGAGCTGATGATACAAGTGCTATTTGAAAACACCTTGATCCAGAGAGAAAGGCAGAACATCACAGCAGCTGGACAATGCCCAGGCCTTGAGGAAATCCCCCATTTCAGCCAAGGAGCCTTGGGGCAGCCAGGGAGGCAGATCTTTATACAGCTTTCCTTTCTGAGTAGATGCTTAGACTATTTTCATTCTCATCGCTACTGCTATGATCTAGAGTTCCATTAGAGCAAAACCCAGTGAGGAGCGAAGCTGAGTAATTAATGCCTTCAAAAATCCACCTTGCCCATCCATTGTGCTCCTTTTGCTGGCAGAAGACTAATATGGCATGTGGAGACTGCAGGCACCGTTTCCTCCAGGGTAGCCACGGCACGATTCCCTCCTCTGACTTCAGTTTACCACCTTCACGGCCTGCCTTCTAATCTGAACAATTATGAAACCGCTCGCTCCAATGCAGTTCTGGATCTTCAGAGACTGGAACCAGGCAATACTGACAGCAAAATGTGCATTGCTAAATTATTCTAAGTTACATTCAGACTCAAACAACGTGATCTCATGTACAGAACAGCTCTCTGACCTTTCAGTGCTAATGCTAACCCTCTTTCCATTGTCTTCCTTTTTATTTTCATACCAAAGTGCACACGTTCTCTCTCCCTGCCTCTCAAATAACTTGTTTCCAGAATTCTTTCCTTCCTCACTTGTCCCACTATCATGGGATGTGTCGATGGGGACATTCAGTTAAGCCCCCTGCATGGTTCTAGCAAAGGCCCCTAGTAAATGCAGTACTTGTGAATTCTACCTTTCTTTCTGAAAGGATTCCAACACCTTTAAGGTGCAATCCTATGCATGTTTGGACGGAAGGAACTAGCACTCCTCCAGAATGCTGGAAGTTGCGGAACATGTTCTGCCTAAACATGCATCACAAAACAGTTTCATGGTAGAGATGGAATTCAGTGCGTGGCACTTTCTAACTTCACAATGCAAGAAGCTTCTCCTGTTGAATTTCTGTCATGTTTGTATTAAAGGGAAGACTCTGCCCCTTTTCCAGATCTAGTTAAGGCTTCCCCTTATTGTTCTTTGAAAGGGATGGGGAAAGACTTTGCATTTTATCAGCAGCCAGAGCTTAGTACTAAATCAAATGTCAGAGAACCTTAAATTAGTCCCTTAATTAAGGCTCCACTTCTAAATATACTTTCTTACTTCATCATAAATCTGGTGAAAACTGTGCAATTGAATGAGTAACTATGTTGAAAATCAGGGCACTAATGTATACATTATGTGTTTCTTTATGGGAAAGTTTAATATGCAGTGAGGCAGAATTTGCTCTCTAACAGTCGACTTCCCCGTCTCTGTCCCATCCCTGCTGGGTGGGGGAGCTCTCAATATATCAAAGCTTTCCAGAGCCCTTTATACTGAAGGCACACGTGCACTCGGAAGACTGTTTCATCTACACTTCTTGCTTCTCTTGGCTTGCATAGAGAGCAAAACACCTGCTGAGAAGCAAGACGATACAAAGATGGAGTACAGGGCGGGGGGAATAGCAAATGAAGTGAACCAAATAAAACATATTCAGTAATTGCTACTAGCTAACATTTCTAAAAGGTACATTTTGTATTGCATTTCAAAATAAAGTAATAGTGAGAGTGCTTTTATATGAAGCGCTGTGCTTTGGCCAAAAGGATAAGTACACGGTGACAATGTGGGCATGGATCCCAATGCAACCGTAAGTGATGCTGAGGCTTTTGCACCAGGATGCTGGGCAGGTGCTGGTGCCACTCTTTGCATGAGGCGCTCTGGGTGCCGACGCATCTCGTATCCTGCAGAGCTAGTCCTTTCTTTACAGGGGAACAGCTGCCTCTGGCTATTTTTGTGTTTCCATTGTGTACGTACAGAGTGGGGTGATTCTCAAAGCTTTGGGCCACACTTAGTCCAAACTGCCGATTTCTGTACATTCAACCTGAAAGCCCAGGTTGCCTTTTCAACACACTAAAGGAAGCTAGGTTGGCCATGTAAGAATTGCAGAAACCAAAACAAAACAGAAGAAAGAGAAGATATGCATCAACAAAAAATAGAGGGGTTGTGATTTACCTAAAATTTACATGTGCTGATTTATATGGCTAGATGGATATTTGGAATAATAATTATAAATAGAAATACAGTACATCTTTCCAGAATATGAAATACTGGGTGGGGTGAGGTGGGTTTTGCTGTTCAGTCTGCTGTTGATGGCAAAGAATGCTTGTGGTTCTTCATCTTTAAACCAGAAATGCACAGGCCATCTTTCAAACAGATGGCCCGCCATACCCTCTGTAAGAGGATACCTGGCTATTCTGCAAGACATGCAGGAAGAGTTCCTGGAAAAGGCCACTCTCGCATCATCCGCACACAGGCATGCTGGTCCCAAACAGGTAATGGACCAGAATGGATGGAGAAGTATAGCATAAGCAGAAGGTGGAGATCAGATCAACGAGCTGATTGGGCCCCATACAAGAGCAACATCCAGGACACGTCTACCTTACAAACTGCCCATTGAAGTGTCGTGGCTTTCCCTCCAATGAATCCCGGAAATAATAATTTAGCACAGGTACTAAGAATGATCTTTTAGAGATCCTTAGTCCCCCTCTGACAGAACTACATACACAGAAGCCAGTGGTGCAGAGAGAAGTCTCCTAGCCAGCACAAGCAACTAGCCTGGGCTACCTATTGTTGGTCTTTCCTTGGGAACAAACCCTTTCTAAATTAATTCCTTGGAACGGGTTGCTACAGAACTCTGACAGCTAAGCTAAAGCTATAATGATCAGTGCTGCTTGTAAGAGCATCAAATATCCCCCAGCAGGGAAGAGGCAAAGAGAGTCAAAGCAGCCTCTGAAGTTTTGAAGCCTTTCCAGAAAGAGAGAGATCTCTTCGACTATCAATTGAGAGCAAAGATCTTTCCAGAAGTTGCCGACTAAGCAAACCGCCACTGTGAATTAGGAAGCAGTTGACTAAAATTAGGCAGGCGTGCAAATGGAATTATGTGGCTGCCTTCCAGAGGCTGGAAGTTTGGGAGAAGCAGGAGAGACCTCCTCTGCAACCAGGAAAGCAAAACGGGGCACTCTCCATGTAGAAACAGCCTGGAAATTTATCTGAGCAGCAATTCAAGGAATAGCAATGCACAGGCAGTATAGAAAGTCAAAAGGATAAATCAAAAAGATCCATGGTGGTTTGTAGCTATCATTTTCTGAGAAAGGATGGACGCAAGTGAGAGTGAATGATTCCCCTGAGAGGCTGGACAGCTAATCAGGCAGCCAGGGCTGTACATAGAAAGTGAAGCATAGATGGGCAACCTGCAGCCCTACAGAGGGGGCTGGACTGCAGTTCCCATCCTCCTTCAGCACTGGCTGTGCTGGGTCCAGCCACTGGCAGCTGCATCCAGCAGTCTCTGGAGGGCAACACGCTACCTGGCCAGATACCAAGTGATGGGAAGGCAATGAGCGCTATGTGCAATTATAACTTCGATTGTGGGGAGGATTTCCAAGAAGATCCTTGCAAAGACCGCAAGAGAATTTTTATGAACACCAGCAAAGGGGAAGCAGACATGTAAAACTGAGCGGGGGGGGGGGGGGCTTGTTAGTTGTACCGCATGGGTCCTAGAAAAAAAAGGGTATCTATATAATCACTGCATGTTGATAATTTTCAACCATTTTCCCCTTTGGGCTGATGTCTGCTTCTCCACATGGTGTGAATCAGAAAACTGAAATGTGTTTGTCTGTCCTCCATTAACATGTTTAACTCAAAGTAAGGCATCACCATTTGGACCAGTACGTGGAAGGCTTACCCTGTCACCTCGAGCACCAGGCAGTCCTGGAGGTCCGGGTACGCCTGGGAGGCCGATGTCACCCTCGGAACCCTGTGGAAATCATCAAAGACAGCACACCCTTAGGTGGGTTTTGGGACTGAACAAAGGGGTAGTCGAAAAAGGCAACCAGGCAGGCTACACCTTCTTTCGGGAGAGTAACAAAGCAGGGATTTTTGTGCCTCTCCCTCTGAACAGTCCAATACAACCTGCTACAGTCAGAAGATTCGTGTCTGGGCTTTTAACCCATCTGCTAAAAAGTTTGTGCTTTCATGGTGCGGGGCATGCTGTAATCTGTCTGCCCAATGGGGCAAGCATTCCATTCCAACAGGGAGCTCTTTCAGAGCCTGGATACTGAGGCTGCCCTTCCAGCAGGAATTCTGTAAATGGAGTCTGAATGATTTCAAAGAAAGCATTCATCCTCACTACTTATTAATGCCAGGTAGCTGTTTGCAATTTTTTTAAGCTGTCCTTTCCGCACTCCCGCCTCTTGTAAATTAATAACACAAGTAACAGCTAACATCACTACCTTAAAGCAATTTGCAAAGAGGGACTTTTGCTTTCCTCCCCAGTTGTGCTGCATAAAAATAATGGGCCCCCAGCAGCGTTTTAGGGACTTCAAATGATGAAATGTGATGGTTAGTAGCATCACAAGTGAAGATGGGGAAAGCCAAAAACGATCCTATTTGTGTTTCATCATGAATGTCTTGTATAAATGAAAAAAGTTGTTACAGACCATGCAGAGAGCCATAAGGTCCTGAAAAAATAAACACACACACTTGATGGGAGACGTCGCTGGCTGCTTACCATTTTACCTGGTGGACCTGCCGAGCCTGCAGGACCCAGTTCTCCTCTGCTTCCCTTTTAGGAAACAACAACATGCTGTTAAGGCAGAGACATATTTTGTGAAAGCAACATCAACAATTATCTCTTTTTATTAATGCTCACTATTGCTTAAATCAATTAATTTTAACTATCTCCTAGCAGCCAAAAAGATGCATACAAAACGGCAAGGACTTGTGATTACTTTCTGAGAGCCATTTTCCAGGACCACACAGGCAGAAAGTATGTGAGTTGCGGGAGATCTGTGCAGACTCCGTCCACAGAGCCTTCCAATTAGATGGATGCCCAGGAGTTAAGTTCCCATCACATCACCAGGCATACCTGGCAGCTCCTAGAAGAGGCATGGCAAGGTGCTCTGCTCGTTGTTACCAAGGGAGCAGCCACTATACATGGGTTTGGACCCAGATTTACTCCTATGTAAGAGAGACCCATTGAGATTAATGGGACTTAAGTAATTAACAACTTAACCTTTTAAGTATAAAGTATGGCATAACACTCGCTTCAGTAAGGAATGCGCTGCTACAAGGTGCAAAGGTGGAGAACAGCATCAACTAGACCCGATGGCCTCCATTCTCCGTATGCCTTTCTACGCCAGCTACAGGGGGAGTTACGTAGAGGGTGATACGGACTCATTTTGCTTTACTTCTAGGTTTTGAACGTTTGAGGCCGATTGTCAATTTCCACCTTCAGTTTCAAGAGGCTAATCATCAATTTCCATCTTCCTTGTGATTCTTAACTTTTCATAGCCTCACAGAATGTTTTTGAGTGCATCGCATTCACACCCTCACCAGTAATCCTCTCTAGGTTTGTCTCTAAGTCTTGCAAAACATTATTTGCATGGAGGCCTTTAGAAATTTGAGGAAAATAGAAAGGAACATGCACCATGGAACAAACCAATAATATGCCTTTTTAATCTTGCATTTTATCACTTTTGAAGGCAGTTTGTTGGCCAGTTATAGGAGTGGTTATATAATCCTATGAAAAAGATTCTTGATAAAAACTGATGACATAAAGTGCAGGAGAAAAGATTAAGACTAGCTTTTACTACATATTCAGGTAAAGAAACTATAGCACAAATGGATGTGGAACAATGAACAGAGGAACAAATGCATAATAAAATACATTTTATCTCACGACTCAAAATTGCATGAAATCACATTTCAAGCAAGGCTCAGATTGGAAATTTACTGAAAATAATAATGCATCCTGGAGGAATCAAATAACTCAGAATGGAGGTAAGTTTCTAATCATCACTTCTAGAAAATTCTTATGTTTGCCTGAGAAAAGGCTTTCACAGAGTGACACAAATGCTTAAGAAAAAACTTTCTGTGACACAGAAGATTCATTAGCCTTTTCCGTAAGTTTAGCTGCTGTTGCAACTTGATTATTACATATGACTCCAGATGTCAAGTTTCCAGTCACAATAATATTAATAATATGTATAAGTTTGAAAACTATTTAACAGCACAATTCTGTGCATGTTTACTCATGTTCTCTACATTAAATGAGGCTTAGGTTCCAAATAAGTATTAACAGGATAACAGCCTTACTTGCTTCCCACAAGAGCGACATCTGACTAATGTGCAACTGAAGGCATCAATTTTCACTAACATTATTGTGTGTGACAGGCAGTGGGTGGAGGAGAAATAAATTAAGGCGCTTAAAAAAAAAACATGTTCTACGCCAGTAACTCCTGGGATGAAGAAAGAAATAGCCATGGCTTTGCAACCGTGTGCATTGTGTTAACTTAGTTCAGCCAATACATTTACTGGGTTCAGAAGTAATTTGAAGCCATATTTTGGTGCTCCAAGGGGCCTACAAGAAGACTGGGGCTTGTATGCTCCCTCTTCTTAAAACTGTAAGTTCCTTCCTGACTTGTATTGAACAGCAGTTTTCCATTACTTCCAGACTGGCAAACTATGGATTGCACCTGCCCTGAAAATCATTACTGCAAGCACAAACCATAGTTTATTCGTGCAGTTGTAGTGACAAGCTGCAGTTTAAGACAACCCAGAGAGAGAGAATCATAGCACTCAAGAGGAGAAAAGAGCATATGAGTATATGATCCGTTCCAGCAGGTTCAGAAATATCATCAGCTGATCAGGATTTCGCATTACATGTGAATGAAGCTCAACTGTTCTTCAGACAACGCCTCAGTATCTGTGGGGCTTATTCTTGCACAGTCAGTGAGCAGAGATGCATAGGTGGGTGTGCGGATAAGTCACCAACACACCTAGGCCAAACGACTCTAGAAGATGGATCTCTTTGATACGGCAAGGAGCTTGGACTACTAAATAAGGCACATGACTAGTTGCATGCAACTGGGGCTCAGTTTCGCTCGAAATCTACCCAAGCCTCAATTCACACGTCTGTGTCTGAGATGTTGGGGATTTCACAGAATCTTTCCATGGGGAGAACTCTTTCTATGAAATACCTCTCCCTGAAAACGTTCACAAGTGGCCACTCTGTAAACATCAGGGTTTTCCACCTGAGTTCCAATTCAAAACAGTGCCTACTCACCATGAATTGATTTTACCATCATAAAAACATGCATGGGTTAGGCCTTGTTTTATAAATCTGGGACGGATCCTTAGAATGCCTCAGAATGCATGCTTAGGACATCATGTGGAGAAAGGCTTCGCAGTTGGGAAGGGAAAGAATCCTGAACACAGTTTTAAGGAAAGAAAGCCATGACAGTAAAGATACAGCATCCTCTCCCTAGTTCTCTCTCTGACCTATTTTGAGATATATATGTGCACGGCTCCCTTTCCAGCTTCCTAGGCACAATTCAAGGTGCCTTTGCTTTGTTTTTAGAGACTCCCATTAAGATCTTTAAAATTAAGAAAAGTGCTTAATTCATCAATATAAGTCCTCTCAAACAGCCTGAATGCTTAGGGCTTTATCCTATGCATGTTCAGACAGAAAAAAGTCTGACACAAGTTCCACAGAGTTGCAGATTTTTCCTGCCTAAACCTGCATAGGGGTGCACCCTTCGTTACTCTTAAAAGCTGCACCCTCTTGTTTTGAGAGGGACTGTACATACATCATTGAATGCACACATCATGCTTCATGTTTAGAAGGTGAAGATTCATTTCTCTGCATTGCCACTAAAGAAAGCTAAGGGTGTTTGCAGTAGCAGGGCAGGGAAACACCTCTGCTTCAGCACTGCTGTCAATCAAGATCCACAGGGCCAAGCAAGAGGGGCCACTGCGTCAGACTCTGCACGCAGCATCCTCGTGCAGGCATCTTAACCCCAATGATGAATGAGACTTCGTCATTTCAAAGTGGATACTTGAAGGTGAATTTTAACAGACTTGAACCAAAATGAAGTATGAGAATTCAGAGTAATTTCCATAATATATGTGAAGCAAAGCTTATGTGCTACTGGGCAAAAGAATTATGAAAAACATTTTTTATTTACAACATTATACATCCTATTGTGGTGTTTTGACAAACAGTCAACCACAATTTCCTCCATCCTCCTGTTGAAAATAGAAAGAGCTCATACATCAAATGAATTAGTAGCAGTGGTAGTATTTTATTCCCTCCTCTTTCCACTCACGCACACATGCACACTCACATTTTTTAAAAAAAAGTAAATACATGTTTATATCTACAACTTAATCCTCACCGGTGTAGTTAAGAGCTGGATTCATGTTCATCTTCATCGGCAAATGTACTGATGGGCAGCCGGATGCTTTGAGTGCTTGCAAATGGCCGCCCTTCTGCAGGTAGAGCAAGGCCTGTGCAAGGGCTCCTGCACCGTTGCCTGGGAGGGCCTGGCATTGGCTGTACAGGACTCGGGTTGCCATGACTTCACTCCCTGACCCGGAGCCTAAGCTGCCGCTCCATTCACAAGGGAGGTGCGATTACCACTTCCACCGATGCCCCCCGCCACACACACACACCAAATTCCATGCCATTCTCAAAGGTCCCCCAACATCCAGGGTCAGATATGGGCAAAGGGGACACCGGATGGAAATGGAGGTGAGGAAACCCCTTCCAATGAAATTCTCTCCTGCCACACCTGTGCAACTGGGGGCGGGGGAGTTTTGAGGTGGAGGGGGAAGGAGGGTTGAGAAGGCCTGACATACACTGCCCAATCCAAATGGGGCTGCAGGTAGAGCAAGGCAGCGTGGGGGGGGGGGGTGACATTAGTCCTTGCAGCCCCACCCTCACCCTCTTCTGTTTGCAGCTGCCTCCCTCCCTGTAAGCAGTGTGGGCTCTGCTGGTCACCTGTTATGGGGTTGAGTAGGACTTTGGGCTCATTGCTCCCATCGGCACTGCTGGACCATGGGCGCCTCTGCCCATTTCACACTGTGGTGCGGTGGATGCTGTTGCTTTGTTCCCAGTTGGTTACTTTGCTCCATGTACTTTGCTTTGGCATTTTGGGTTTGGAATATCCCAAATGTGGGCTATTCAGTGGGGTTGGTGAGAATCTGGAGGCACCTTTTAGGTAAGTGATGTTTCCTGAGGCCCTCCACTCAGGGCTTTGCAACCCAGTGTGGAGATAAGGATTGCCTCTGAGGCTGACTCGCTTCACCTGTTTAGTTTTGTAGCTTTGGGAGAAGGTGACGGGGAAGGGTTCCAACACCAGCTTGGTGTAAACTGAGGGACGGCAATTTCATGGGCCCTTCCCTTGAGCAATGCATGCTGCCCCAGAGTGAGTACTGGAAAGGGTCTGCTCTAGGCTGGAAGCTGCACTTCTTCACTTTCACGGGTGCTGACTATTCAATCAATGTAGCTCAGGTTGTACCATAATCTGTGTCTCAACTCGTCACTTCCACCCACAACACACACAACCAGGCCTTGTTCCACTCACAGAAGGCTTTGTCTTTTGTCTGCTCCCTATTCTTGGTGGTCTTTCTGTGTGGACTGATATTTGCCTTTTCGCTCAAGTAAGACATTGCGATAGCAACATTGCAACAGTTGTGACGATGGAGGCTGCTCTTGTTCACTCGGGCAGGACTATGCTTCGTGTTGCCCCTCCTGCATACTGCCTCCTCTCGAAACCCACATCCGACTCACGCAGGCCCTTGCCACACAGAACATGTTCAGCCCATCGTTAAGACATGTGACATGGCAAGGCCGAGGACTCAGCCCCTTTTCCCAGCCTCACCCAAGCGGCTTCATGTGGTGGCCCGGTGGGGATGACTCTTCAGTAGAAGAGCAGACCTCTTGACTGGCTCTTGCTAGGACTGCCATTCCAGGCCCAGTGTGACACTTCTGACCAAGCACAGATAGCTTTGGACAGCATGACTAGTCTCATGCCAGCTTAATTATGTTGTGGTGGTTTCCATTGAAATAATGACTTCCTGAAGACTGGTTTGTAAACCAGCATATAAGGGAATAATACTTGCAAGAGAGAGTATTAGAAATAATAATGCTTTCCCCACACTTTTCAAGCAAAGTATGACCAGATAGAATTGTGGAATGGTTTGCACTTTTGTCAGCTTACATAAAACAAGGGGAAAATTTGTCTGGTATCTTGCTGGTTACCAGACCAGCAGACAGAAGAAAAAACCCTCAGAACTTAATCTGAATACTCTGTTTCCAGCATTTACAGTGGGGGGCTGCTAATAATTAACCCAGCATGACAACTTCATGGGCTGCTGATTTTATAAATCTTTACTTGTACTTTATGGGATTAAAAGCATAGTTTAGAAGATTACCTTCCATGATCCAATTAGGAAACTGTGCAGTTCTTAATTAACCAGAGAACTGTCCAAAAGCATACATGTAGGCATCAGTACAGAGAGAGGAATTTGGGAAGAAGTCAATTATATCCAAATGAGCCCTGCCCAGAGCTACTAATGGCTTGCAATTGTTGGAAATGCATTATGGCATCTTTGGAGAAATATGAAGCTATTGTACTACTAGCTAGAGCTTTAGAGGAAAACAGGAAGCAAAACAAATGTTCCTGTAAAGGTATAAAACCCACTTCTGCAAAACCCATTTCCCTAGGCACTACTCCGTAATGCATGGGGCTTTTCAGACACAGGGCAGGCAATTTCCAGCCTCCAGCTCCCCAGTCCCTTTCTGCAGCTGGATCAGCACAGCCTTCCCCAACCTGGAGCCCTCCAGATACAGTGGATTGTACAGCTCCCAAAATCTCCAATCAGAAAGTCTAATGGTCAGGGATGGTGGGATTCTGCCCAACACAGCTGGAAGGAGAGTGGCTGGGGCAAGAAGACTCCTTGACTCCTGCATGAGGAGTCCTATCACGGGGCAGTGTACTGCAGTTTCATAAATATGTTACATTCCCATATTTGTGTGGAGCCTGAAAGAGACGCCATGGCTCAGCACTGCACTCAGAGGTGCTTTATTAGTACCACACTCCCCTATCAGATTTAGAAACGTGGGCAGCACGGGCCTCTAAGGCAAAGGAATGATGCAAGAGACAGACTCAGTAAGAAGCACTACAACAGTGGGTCGTCTTTCACGTCTGCCTGCCTGCTCTCAATTGAGCCTGCCTGTGCCTTCAGATCTTCCAGCAAGTCCCCTGCCTCCACTTTATTTATGCCTTTTCATTATTAACTGGGATCCAGTGAGTGGGGAGTGGGGAACAGACCCTTTTGGAAGAGAAACCCCATTGCTGGAATCCCCTTGCTCTCTCTGGATGTCTTGGCTCTCCCCAGGCCAAGACAATTCTATGCATCCAGCCTTCTGACTCAAGTGTTTTGGGGTGTTTTATTGCTGCAGCTTTATTGGAATGTTATTGATGTTTTATCCAGTTTTATTGCTTTCTGTTGCTACGTGCCTTATTTCTAATCTGCCACATTTTATGATGTGTTGTCTAGAGAAGTAGGGAAGGGAAGGGAAGGGAAGGGAAGGGAAGGGAAGGGAAGGGAAGGGAAGGGAAAGGAAAGGAAAGGAAAGGAAAGGAAAGGAAAGGAAAGGAAAGGAAAGGAAGAAAAGCAGAGCAATCCTAAGTAAGGTGTCAGGGACACTGACAGACAAGGCCACACGCCACATCAAAGCCCCGTAAAGCTCACCCAGGCCAAGGGGTGAGCAGGGAGGAGTGTTGGTTGCTTTGCTAAATCTTACCAGCACATATCCAGCTTTTAGAAACTCCTCTCCCCAAGGTGAGGTGGGTAGCCTTGCCGGCCGTAGGTTAGCATAGGTACCAGGCCTGATCCTGGAGCCCTCCAGAGGAGTGAGCAGCTTTAAATGGAGCAGATCTTGTTGACTGCCTTTTTCTTCCATCTTCTTAGAATGCCCTATTTAAGGGCCTGGCACCAGCAGGAACACTGCCAGCAGGAGGTCTAGGCCCAAGGAGATTTCACAGGTGTGCTGCTCTACTGGTGGAGAGGTCCATCCATCCCACCATAATACCATGAGCCAGTGGTTCTGCAGAGTAAGACTTCTTAGTTGTACAGATGCTAGCAAAAGCAACAGTGGATGGGTAGAAAGAAAAGAGGCAACCCAGACATAAGGAGGACCTTCTGAAAGAGCTCTGGAGCTCAAGGTAATCAGGCTGACCCTCCACCAGCCCATTCTTGCGCCTTCCCTCACCAAAGACCACAAACTCATCAAAGGATACTGACCATGCCCAGTAACAATAGGATGCCACAATAATCTGTGTGTCCATGTGGCTTATTTATGCCCTTAGAACAACGCTTAAAAGTATCAATTCCTACGTTTGCAGACATTTTTACCAACCCACTACTAAAAAACAAGAAACACAGAAATATGTCGTGTGATCACAGGAAACAGCTCTGAAGCATAGCTCTGTACCGTCAGTTTTGAACTTACTGACATTTCTAGAGTCCCTTTCGCCCAGGGAAGAGCCATGACGAACGGTTAGCGCTACTTTATCTCCTGTCTCCTTCCTTATTAACTGCCTACTGGCCATCATTTGGCATTATTAAGAAGTCCTGCCTAGCCAGTAAGTTGTGAGAATGACATCCCAGTGATACACACAGTTTACTTTGTATGATGATGTCACAGCAGCACAGTCGGCAGTGGGAGCCGAGAGGGAGGTTTTCCCAGTTGCGTCAAGAGCTCACAAGCAGCACATGCACTGCCGCTCCCCGAATCCCCCTGGCTTCCTGAAGGTTGCAGCACAGGTGGCAGGTTGGTGAAACCTCTCAGCTGGAGCTCACCCTTCCCCAGCTTCATACCCAGCAGGTATTTTGGACTCCAGCTCCCCTGGCAGAATGGTCAATGGTAAGGAATATTGGTGTTTTCGTACAAAAGATCTGAAGGGCATCAGGTTGGGGAAGTTGCTGTAAAGCATCTTAATCTTCTTCCCACTTGCCTAGGTGTAGCGATGGGCTCCATGCTCCCAACCATAAAGGATGTTTAATACTCCATGAGGTGCATTTGGAACACTTGTTTAAAGTTAATTACGCCATTATTTTTTTAAGAGAATGCTTCAGTCAATATGTTTTTTTCACTCCCCTTCTGGAATCACATCTTTCTGTTACTGATACTTCTCAGTTAAGAATATATCTGATACACTTATAGTCCAACATGCCAGTAACGAGAAACTGAATTGTTCCAAAAAGGCATCCTGCTCCTTTAAATAGATCCTGGTTTGGCCTGTCATCTAATAGGGGCTATCACCTACCTGGGTGTTTCGGGAGGAGGAATTGGAGTTAACAGAATGTGGTCAACAGACACACAAGCTGACTCAGCCTGTGCAAATGGAGATGGAACTCAGCCCAACTCAGAACTCATTCTCTCTCTCTCTCTGTCTCTCTCTCTCCCTCCCTCCCTCTCTCTCTCTCTCTCTCTCTCTCTCTCTCTCTCTCTCTCTCTCTCACACACACACACACACACACACACACACCAGTCCCACTAAAAATCATGAAAACTCTCCTAGATATGGATCTACTGATGTGAAATTCATCCACTATAACTAATTTCTAGTAGCACATTTTGAGATCTGGTCTGAATGTTTTAATCAACTGCAGGGATTTGAGGCTGAAGTCTTTTGCACTAGAAATCAGCATATACTGCAAATTTGCATGATTAATTCAGGAATGAAAGAAATTGATATGGAAGTCAAGAGTCTATCTGAGAAACCAGCAAAAAAATAATTTTGCTGCATACTTTGCCTCCTTCATTGTCAGGCTGAAAAGCAAAAGTCTAAATAAGATCACCTGAGAGCAGAACTAGTGAACTTACTCGTGGGCCTCTGGGTCCGAATGGTCCTTGTTCTCCCTGCGGTCCTTGGTCTCCCTGTTGGCAGAGGCAAAAGGACACAACATGCTTGAAAAGTGATTCTGCACCAAAAGTAATTCAGTAAAAATAAAAACAAAACATAGGAAACTTGAGATGGAAATTATCTTACAGGTTTACCCGAATTTCCCATCAAGCCAGGTTTTCCAGGAGGACCTGCGTTACCCTGTTGGAAAGAAAGGAGTTTAACCATATTAAAGTAAACACTACTTTCCTGCCATTTCAGTAGAGTTACAGGGAAGTGGTCTAGTTAAAATACATTAAAAATCAAGCACCACATGCTTGCTTCTCTCTCTCTCTCTCTCTCTCTCTCTCTCTCTCTCTCTCTCTCTCTC